TTATGCGTTTTTGCCGTGCAGCGCTAGAGCGCTGCAACAGGCAGCAAAAACGCATATTGCAACGACGCTGCCAGTGTGTGCGTGTGTGTGTGTTCGTCTGTCCGGGTATTTCAAATCGCCAACCACGCAAGCTTTGAAGCTGAAATTTTGCCAGTATGTTCCCCAGCCAAGTGCCACCCCAGAACCGCGGTATCAACTCTTACGCGCGTCTGGGCCCCGCGTACGAGCACGTGAAAGTTTTGGCGAAAGAACTGCTAGCACGGGAACAAGAAAAGTTAGAAAGCTGAAACCATAGGGTAATGTTCCCCACTCGTGTATGACAAAAAGATTTCAAATTCAGCTGCCCAGGACTGCCCGGGACTTACGTACGGGCACGTGAAAATTATGGCGGGAAAATTCATAACTCGGGAATAAGAAAAGCTAGAAAGTTGAGACTTTGGGGGTAATGTTCCCTACTTACGCACGACCAAAAGCGTTCAAAACCAGCTCCTTGGGACCGCCCGAGACCCACGTACGCTACATGTGAAAGTTTTGGCGCGGAAATTACTAACCAGGGAACGGGAAAAGCTAGAAAGCTGAAACTTTAGGGGAATGTTTCCTCCTCATGTACAACCAAAATCAGGTGTTTAGAAGCACCCAGGGCCCAAGCACAGGCACGCGGAAATTTTGGCGCGAAAGTCACTAACCCGGAAAGAAAAAAGCTAGAAGGCTGAAACTTCAAGGTAATGTTCCCTGATCAGGTATGACAAAAGGATTTCAAATTCGGCTCCTTAAAAGTGTCCGGTAATCACGTACGGATACGTGAAAATTTTGATGGAAAAATTGCTACCTCGGAAACGGGAAAAGCTGAAGGCTTTTATTTTAAGGGAATGCCCCCTATTCGTGTGCGACTAAAAGATTTCAAATTTAGCACTTCTAGTACGGCCTTTTTTCGCCGACCAGCAACTTTCCATTTGTCGGGTCACTGAAGTCGACATCTACAACTGACATATCACATAGCTGCACATTTAACTTTCCGAACCTCGAAGGCCAGTATTTCACAGGGTTAGCTACTGTGATTCCTTGCGATCTTGCTACGGCACAAAAAGTGCAAAAACGCACAATCGCGCCGGCCTGCCTGGTGCGTTCCAACCTGAGTTTCCACATAAGTTCAAGTTTTTATGCGTTTTTGCCGTGCAGCGCAAGAGCGCTGCAACAGGCAGCAAAAAAGCATATTGCAACGACTCTGTCAGTGTGTGTGTGTGTGTGTGTGTGTATGCTTGTATGTGTGTGAATGTTCCCTACCCATGTATGACAAAAAGACTTCAAATTCAGCTGCCCAGGGGTGCCCGGGACTTACGTACGGGCACGTGAAAGTTATGGCGGGAGAATTCATAATTCGAGAATGAGAAAAGCTAGAAAGTTGAAACTTTGGGGAGATATTCCATACTCATGCACGACCAAAAGTTTTCAAACTCAGCTCCTTAAGACCGTCAGGGACTCACGTACGGGCACGTGAAAATCTTTGGCGCGAAAATTACTAGCCCGAGAACGGGAAAAGCTAGAAAGCTGAAACCTTAAGGGAATGTCCCCTACTCATGCACGAGCAAAATCAGGCGTTCAGAAGCGCCTGAGCCCACGTACGAGCTCGTGGAGATTTTGGCGCGAAAATTACTAGCCCGGGAACGGGAAAAGCTAGAAGGCTGGAACATTCGGGGAATGTTCCCTACTCATATACGAGCAAAATCAGGTGTTTAAAAGCGCCCGAGCCCACGTACAAGCTCGTGAAGATTTTGGCGAGAAAATTACTAAACCGCAAACGGGAAAAGCTAGAAAACTGAAACTAGGGCAGTGGTTCCTACTCATATATGACCAAAAGATTTTAAATTCAGCTCCTTAAAACCGCCCAGTACTCACGTACGGGCACGTGAAAGTTTTGATGGGAAAACTGCTGACTCAGGAACGGGAAAAGCTGAAGGCTTTAATTTTAAGGAAATGTTTCCTGCTCATGTGCGACTAAAAGATTTTAAACTTAACTGTTCTAGTGTGGCCTTTTTCTGCGCACCAGCAACTTTTCATTTGTCGGGTCACTGAAGTCGACACCTACAACTGACATATCACATAACTGCACAATTAACTTCCCGAACTTCAAAGGCCAGTATTTCACAGGGTTAGCTACTTTGATTCCTTGCAAACTTGCTACGGCACGAAAAGTGCAAAAACGTGTAATCGCACCGGTCCGCCTGGTGCGTTCTAGCCTGGGTTTTTTAATTTACCATTCTTTGCGCTGCTCCGTTGCCTCATCCACTTTACTATTGTCTCCAGTTCTTGCCTCGAATTCCTGACAAATGCTGTTGCTCCTCGCCTCTACCCTGCCCCTAAACCATGCCTGCAGAGCGGCATTTGGTCACCCATCACCCACCGCCCCCTCCCACCTCCCCTAATCGCTGCCATTATTAATCGTTTGAAACTCCTCACTAGTGCCCTTACGCTTCTCCTTCATCCTGCTCAGTCCGTGTCCCTTTAGCTGTATTTGGGCATCCACCACCACCCTTCAACCATCCCAACCCTTCTGCACAGCACTTCCCCCAGTCACCCGTTTCAGCCGTAAGTATGCTGAGCAGCGCTACCCAACACCCCTGACAAAGTGCCAGGCGACGTCGGCAAGTGACGTCGTGAAATAGTGTTAAACAGGAGGTTATATTGCGATAAAGACCATTACAACCCAAGCTGGAACGCACCAGGCGAGCCGGTGGGGTCATGCGTTTTTGCACCAAACTTGAATTAGGTTAACTGCGTGAACGGTTGTTTCTTCACACCTACCTTGTGTGCTCAGTACCGTAAATCATCGTAAATTTTGCATAAAAGGGGATAAACAGTTTCCATTTAGCGGTCGTTTTTATGCGTTTTTGCATATATGTAAATTGCAAAAACGCATATTGGGAAGAGGCTGTCTGTGTGTGTGTGTTTGTGTATGTGTGTATCTGTCTGTGTTCCACTTTTTGTCACCCACTTTCAACTCGAGACCCAGAAAAGCTAGAAGGCTGAAACTTTGGAGATATGTGCCTTGTCACCCACTTTCAACTCGAGACCCAGAAAAGCTAGAAGGCTGAAACTTTGGGGATATGTGCCCATTTAAGGGTAAGCAAAATTGCAATTAGAAAAAGTAAAAAGAGGTGATGAAGTAGATGAAAAGAATGCAGAAGTGAAAATATAAATGGAAATATTAAATTAGGTAAGAAATGTTTCGGTCCATTAAGTCGTATACA